CAAGCTTTAAATATTAGCCATACTTCAATTAAACACTTTGTTTAGTTTGCCTATATCAATATTTTAAAATGTTTTCATTGAGAAACATTTTTAAAGTACTATTTCAACTCTGAACAAAATACTTGGTAGACAGTTAACAATCTAAAATATTATTTGATTAATATAAAGCATGTTAGCTTAGAGTTGTGTTTCAAGATGCTTACTGTTTTTTTTCTTCCTATAGATCCAAAAGAGGTTGTACTTAATCTTGCTTTTAACTGAAGGCACTGTCTTTATTGAATATGACTGTTATTTACACTCTGGATTAGTCCCAGAAATATTCTACGCATCATATTTGGTGTGAACTGACGAAGTTCTTTAGAAGTTTTACAGATAATGCACTCTCACTGAAATATTCCATGTTTTTTTTTTTTTTTTTGTTGTTGTTGTTGTTATGTGCCACCCAGTCGGACCGATTCATAGCGACCCCTCCTTGCATTTCCGATTACTACAGATGTAGATTGTCTAACCTTCCTACTGAGTAGTGGCTGGTAGGTTTGGACTGCCAGCCTTCTGGTTAGCAGTCAAGTGCCTTAGGCACAACCCTACCATACTATTTTTAAAAGATGCTCTGTGTCTCTTTCTGTCTTTGATACAAAATATTTTACCAAGGGTCTGACTTAGTTTCCAGAGTAAAATAGGCTTTGTTTATATTCTGCATCTATCATTTTGTAGCTCAGAGACCCTAAACAAGCTACTTATATTTGATAAACTTTAGTTTCCAATACCAAATATTTAGGATCTGTGTAATGACAAAATGAGATCTGTCTACTAAGCCTTTGTCCATGTTGTTGTTGTTGTTATTTGCCGTTGAGTCTGTCCCGACTCATAGTGACCCCTCCTTGGGTTTCCGAGGCAGTATCACTGCCGAAGTAGGATTGCCCAACCTTCCTTCCGAGGAGTGGCTGATGGATTTGAACTGCCAGCCTTCTGGTTAGCAGTCAAGTGCCTTAGGCACTATGCCACAAAGTCTTGGTCCATAGTCCAGATATATATCTTCTCAATAAATGTTAGCATTTTTTTAAAATAACAATTGTTTGGGCTTTAAGGAAAGTTTACATAGCAAATTGGTTTTCCCAACCAATACTTTATATACAATTGTTCTGTGATATTGACAATGTGTCAACATTCTCCCTATTTCCTCCATCGGTTCATTTTCCATGTGTCTGGTTTCCCTGTTCTTACTTGTCTTCTCATCTTTGGTTTTGGGCAAATTTTGTCGTTGGTTTCGTATAGTTGATTGTTCTGAAGAGCATACCCTTCACATTGTTTATTTTATACTCCCATTTATTATTTGGCTGGAAAGTTGCCTCTGGGAGAGCCTTCAGTTTCAGGTTTTCTCAGGGCAGTCTCTTTCCAACCAGCAGTCTTTTTGTTGTTGTTATTGTTCTACATTTTTTGTAAACTTACTCTAACTAGGATTGTCTGTTGTAATCTTGATCAGAGTAGTCACTAGTGGCAGCTGGACACCATCTAGTTCTTCAGGTCTCAGATTAGAGGAGGCTGTGGTTCATGTGGGCAGTTACGCCTTTGGATTAGTGGATTGAGTAGAGTTTATGGGACATCCATTTGCTGATGTGGTACAACTCAAAATGGGAAGAAACAGCTGCAGTTATCCATTAATAATAGGAACATTGAATGTACAAAGTGTGAGTGTAGGAAAATTGAAAGTTGTTAAAAATGAAATGGAACACACAAAGATTGAGATCATGAGTGAGCAGAAATGGACTGGTTTTGCCCATTTTGAATCAGACAACTATATGATCTACTACGTTGGGAATGACAAATTGAAGAGGAATGACATCACATTCATCATCCCAAATAATGTCTCAAGATCTATCCTGAAGTAAAATGCTGCCAGTGATAGGAAAATATCCATAGTCCTACAAAGAAGACCAGTTACTATTACTATTATTCAAATTTATGCTCCAACCACCAAAGCCAAAGATGAGGAAATTGAAGATTTTTACTAACTTTTGCAGTCTGAAACTGATAAAACATGCAATCAAGATGTGTTGATGATTATTGGTGACTAGAATACAAAAGTTGGAAACGAACAAGAATCACCAGTATATAGAAAATAGCCTTGGTGATTGAAATGACTTTGGAGATTGCATGATAGAATTTTGCAAACCAATGACTTATTCCTTACAAATACCTTTTCTCAACAAAATGGACAGTGGCTGTACACATGGACTTTGCCAGGTGGAATATACAGGAATCAGATCGACCACATCTGTGGAAAGAGGCAATGGAGAAGCTCAATATCTTCAGCCAAAACAAGGCCAGGAGCTGACTGTGGAACAGACCATCAACTGCTCACATGCAAGTTCAAGTTGAAGCTGAAGACAATTAAAACAAGTCCACAAGAGCCAAAATATGACCTTGATTATATTCCTCCTGAATTTAGAGACTATCTAAAGAATATATTTGATGCATTGAACACCAGTGACTGAAAAACAGAGGAATTGTGGTATAACATCAAGAACATCATCCATGAAGAAAGCAAAAGGTCACTAAAAAGACAGGAAGGGAAGAAAAGACCCAAATGAATGTCAGAAGAGACTCGGGAACTTGCCCTTGAATGGAGAGTAGCTAAAGCAAATGGAGGACATGACTAAATAAGAGAGCTGAGCAGAAGATTTCAAAGAGCAGCTCAAGAAGATAGTCAATTATTATAATGAAATGTATGAACGCCTGGAGTTAGAAAACCAAAAGAGAAGAACATGCTGAGCATTTCTCAAGTTGGACGAACTGAAGGAAAAATTCAAGCTTTGAGTTTCAATATTGAAAGACTGAATGGGCAAAATATTGAATAATGCAGGAAATATCAAAAGAAGTTGGAAGAAATACACAGAGTCACTGTATCAAAAAAATTGGTCAGTGCTCATACATTTCAGGAGGTGGCACATGATCAAGAATCAATGGTATTGAAGGATGAAATGGAAGCTTCACTGAAATAATTGGCAACAAAACAAAACAAATCACACACACACACACAAAAAAAACAAGCCTCCAGGAATGGACAAAATATCCATTGAGATGTTTCATTAAATGGGTGCTGCACTGGAGGCACTTACTCATCTATGCCAAGAAATCTGGAAGACAGCTACCTGGCCACCTGACTGGAGAAGATCAATATTTGTGCCCATTCCAAAGAAAGGCAATTCCATAGAAGGTGGCATTTATTGAACAATATCATCAATATCACATGCAAGTAAAATATTGCTGAAGATAATTTAAAAAAGTGACTGCAGCAGTATATTGACAGGGAACTTCTAGAAATGCAAGCTGGATTCAGAAGAGGATGTAGAATGAGAGATATCTTTGCTGATGTCATATTGATCTTGGCTGAAAGCAAAGAATACCAGAAATACCAGTTTGTGTTTTACTGACTATGTAAAAGCATTCAGCTCTGTGGATCATAACACATTTTGAGTAACATTGAGAAGAATGAGAATTCCAGAATGCTTAATTGTGCTCATGAGGAAACTGTACATAGATCAAGAGGCTGTCATTCAAACAGAAGAAGGGGAAACAGCATGGTTTAAAATCAGGAAGACCATACTTGCTCAATCTGTATGCTTAACAAATAATCTAAGAAACTGGATTATATGAAGAATGTACCATCAGGATTGGAGGAAGACTCATTACCAACCTGTGATATGCAGATGACACTACTTTGCTTGCTGAAAGTTAGGATGACTTGAAGTACTTACTGATGAAGATTAAAGACTATAGTCTGAAGTATGGATTACACCTCAACATAAAGAAAATGAATCATCACAACTGGACCAATAAGCAACATCATGATAAATGGAGAAAAGGTCGATGTTGTCAAAGATATCATACTACTTGGTTCCATAATGGAAACCAATGGATGCAGCAGTTAAGAAATTAGATGGTGTATTGCACTGGGCAAATCAGCTACAAAAGACCTCTTTAAAGTGCTGAAGAGCAAAGATGTCTCTTTGAAGACTATGTTGCACCTAACCCAAGCCATGATGTTTTCAACCACTTCATATGCATACGAAAGCTGGACAATGAATAAGGAAAGCAGAAGAAGAGTTGATGCTTTTGAATTTTGTTGTTGGTGAAGAATGCTGAAAATACCATCCACTGCCAGAAGAACTAACAAATCTGTCCTGGAAGAAGTGTAGCCAGAATGGTCCTTGAAAACAAAATTGGCCAGACTTCATCTCTCCTAATTTTGGTCATGTTGTCAGAAGGCACCATTCTCTGGAGAAGGATATCATGCTTGATAAAGTGGAGGGTCAGCGAAAAAGGGAAGGCCACCAGTGAGATGGGTTCACAAAGTGGCTGCAGCAATGGGATCAGGTATAGCAAGGATTATGAGGCTGGCACAGCACTGGGCAGTGTTTCATCATAGGGTTGCTATGAGTCAGAGCCCTCTCAATGGCATCTAACAATAATAGCAACATGTTCCAGGTGAGAAGAGACCAATAAGTTGCTTCTTAGGTGGCTGCTCACAGATAGCAATTATTTTTGTTCTTGGTAGTGTTTACAACAATATTTTCAGGAGTGGTGAATCATTATATAATGCTAGAATTTTTAAAAACAGATTATTTAAAAATAATCTGAGAGTTTAATAAATGTTTCATGTAGTTTATAGACTTATAAAACAAATGACTATACTTCTTTTACATGCATAACATTTTTAATGAAATTAGGTTAAATTGTAAAGATTGTGTACCCACTACATTTCAATACCATTTGGAGTTTATTTCTAAAGTATCATGAATTTCAAGTGCATATTATATTAAATATCTTTGGATACATCTCACAAAGCAACTCTAAGAACAATATCATGCAAGCATTTAAAAACTATATTTGATTCCATGTTTCAGGAAAAATTCTTTTATAGCTTGATGTTTGCTGGCATCTTAGTTATCTTATTATTTATACTCAAGTAACTAAAATAATATATTTTTGCTTTTTAGTCACTCAAGACTGCTTGCAACTGATTGCAGACAGTGACACTCCTACTATACGAAAAGGTAATAATATGGCTCCAGTATATTTCCCATTCAGGATTCAATCAAAATACTTGTAAAAACAATGTTTGGACTACATTTCAAATCAACTACTTCATAATTTCTTTTTTTTTTTTTTTTTT